AAGCCCTCCTTTGTTCTTTAGTCTTGTATCAATAAATCGATCCTTACTCCTGTAATTAATAAATAATTTTTAACAAAAATTTAAGAATATTATTTGCTATAAAATAAACATATCTGTTTAACCATATAACATACTCGATTGCTTTACCTTGCTATTGTTTTCGCCTCAATAATCTGTCGAGTATCGTTATGAGAATTCTTGAAAAAACAAGCAACTAACTCACCGTCTTTTCCTCTGACAATATGAAATCTATTTTATTATCTAAATTAAACCTTTTTTCATTAAATGCAATTATTAATTTAATTTTTTTTTATTAAACTTTATTTTATTATCTATAATTAAAACTTTTTTCATTAAATGCAATTATTAATTTAATTTTTTTTTTAATAAAATAAAATAAGTACTAATTTGAATGAATATATGATTCTTTTTAAAAATTCAGAATTACAATTTTAAGAAAATCGTAAATTTTTTTTTTGTATAAAAAGTTAGCTAAGTTATCTACTTACATTTACAAATTCACATTTTACGAATTAAATAACCTAACTTATGAAAAAAAACTCTAATTGGATAAAGGAATCATGAGCAAAATCTTTATTTTAATGATCATATTATTGGCTACATTTTTCACGGTCAATGCAACTACTAGCTTTAGTAATTGTTTAAGTTCTGGCATTACTGTGCCTGCATTAAGTGTATCAATTTCATCTGACCCTATTCTTGATGCTGAATTGGTCGTTACTTTTAATATTTTAGGAATACTAAGTGAAAAAACCAACTTGACTTTCCAACTTTTGATTTCATTTAATACAATTGATGATATCATCATAGATCCCAATCAAATTGATAATGACACTATAGGTCTCTCTATTGTTTCAGTTAAGGCAGGAATAGTTTCTGTTAATCTAACTCAAAACATTATAGTACCACCTTATTTGTCTGAATGGTATTTGATAAAGACTACTATTAGTAATCAATTTGGAAATGTTCTTGGCTGTGGGATAGCTTTTATTGGGCCTTCAAATAATTAATTTATTTATTTATCCCTTAAGTTTTTTTTTTTATTTTTTTTTTATATTTTTGGCTAAAAGCCTCAAGCCTTACTCTACAAATTTTTAGAATGATTAGTTCCTAGTTCACTAATATAGATTTAGGTTTAGTATCTAGAAATTGAAGTTTAATGTCAGGATATGAAACCTTAATTTAAATGACTTTATTATTAATAAAAAAATTCTTAGTTTAGAATATAGTAACTGACTAAAAAA